CTCAGTCCAAATTAATTCAAATCGCTGTTAGTGTGGTTTATACTACATTTTATAAACTGCCCTACAGTATCACGTTATACTTTATCTCTGAGTCAGTAAATTTTCCGTCAGTGCCTAATTCAACCCTAAAACAGCGCGGAGTCTTAATATTGTGGCACAAATATAATAATTGTAACTACAGCGCATTAAATTCTTCCATTAGCCTTATCCTCCCGAAAGAAGAGACACTGCAGAAAAATACATTTTTCAGTGTACAAAGACACGGAATCGATGAAATTCATTTCGTCACAGGATTTGAAGACAGTCAAAGCATTTTTACACCGATTATGAGAGTTAATAAATAAACCTGGGGGCGGATAACTTGTGGTATGAAGTAATTACATATATCTTCAGGGGAGTTGCAGGAAATGGTGAATCGACTTCAGTGTGGGTGTGTCCCTTCGAGCATTTCCTTTGAGGAACACCCTTTTCGAACAGTGAAGGAAGCGGGGTTAAGGGACAAGGAGATGATCCTAATCGATCGAGTATCAAAAGAATATAATTGAATTAATCGATGCCATAAAGGTGGCTTCGTTTTCTTACGGAGTGACTTAAGCGTGCAGTTTGCGTCGGTATCGCATGACATGCGACTTAAGGGGGCGAAGGCCAAAGGCGTCTCCGGTGCCGGTCTTTGTCCCGTGCCGAGGTTTCATTTTCCACCCCGCATAAATTTATTGCTGAATGATTATTAGTTTACGTTATGAACCGAACCATTACTTACGGAAGTACGACTTCTTGGGCAGCGTTGCCACTCGACGCAATTGTCACTGTATTGCTTACTCCCTAATGTGAAGGGCATGCACGCAGATCATCATTCATTTTTCATACGTGAAATAATTCTATCACGTCACATAATTGTGGAAAAGTAAAGCTGGAACGATGGGGTGGGCAAAGAAAAACCACTCACAGTTTTACCTCCGTTGCTTAGACCCTCTTTAAACGATTTTAGCTGCTACCCCTGCTTTCAGCTAAAATGACGTGGAGAATTTGCATACGCAAATGTTTTATTGCTTCAGCTGAAGCTGTCTAAAGAGCTAATTTTGCAGTATTTTTTATAATTTTTTCGGCCATGGGAAATAGTATTAAAATAGATTTAAAAGTGGGAAAATACGCCGCATAGTGACGTCATCTGGCGGCATTTCCCATTTAAACGCATGTATTTTAGCAGATTAGATCATTTTTTAATATCTCCTCCAATAATTGTTCAAATTTAAGAACCAAGGGTATACTCGTGTTCAGCTCACTTGACAGCGTCCATTCAGCCACAGAATTCATCAAATTTCAGACACCTGCAAATTCTCCTTGGCTAGACGTCATCAATAGCGGAGTAGCGCTGAGTTCAAAAACAAAAGCCTGGATACTGTTGATATTGATATCGTCTGATACTGGCTATAATATTTGATCGAGAGTAAGCAAACCCACAATCTTAGAAGCATGATATGTAAAACAATTGCGTATTTTGACTTGTCAATCATACTGGGACGATAGCTTATCATTTGAATTTTTTAAATTTGAAGGATGATATTTGGTGAATGGCTAGCCGACTCCAAAAATGTTCTCGTGGCACATAAAAGCAAGGAGACCGTATTTCAGTGTTTCCTGAAGTGTCTTTAATTGAGGAGACGTCTAGTTATGATTTTTGCCGTTGTAAACCTGAGAATTGGCCACCTAATTGATGCTAATGGATTAGTTAAAATTGGCGAAAACTTGAAAACGTGTTAGACTTCATGGTTATTCGCCTCAAACTGCCAAGAAATGTATATTTTTCATCAAAAGATGTGGTACACGAAGCATTTTCCTCGTGATCATTATTTTTCAAAAAGCAGTCATCACATTTCAAGTCATGACGGCCTTGCTAAATTTTAGAGGGTCCACGATAAGTCTAAATCTCTGATTCCAAAGCGGCAACATTGGCCAACAGACAAACGGCTTTCAATGGCACTGACACCGGGAAATAACTGCAGAATGGGCTTCATTCATGAGAACTTGTATGTGACAGCCAAGTCAGTGCTTAAGCACACGTTCGATCACAGCCATCAGATGGTGAGGTATATTTTCCACTTTCAGAATTGGATTGAGCGTCAGTAAAAAGAAGTTTCCTTGAAATCTTACATCGTGGCGCGGAATAGGATCGGCAAAGACACTCGTGGATGAGTTGCGCATGCGCACTCAGAGGTGGGCGTAGACAACGGTGCGGTCTTGAGCGTTCCATGACCCCTGATGGCAGACAGCGGCCGAAGGAAGGGCAAGTAGGAAGAATGGAAGAAGAAAAGAGCGGCAGTTATTTCAAGATGTCATGAATGGACGTCAGCGCATAGCTCACCGGTGTATGACATAATGGATAACGCCGACTGTCATCTTCGGAAGAGATAATCTACACCGTGTCCTCGTGTGTTCCCGTCAGGCATCGGCGATTCAACCAGTAATATGTGAGGGGTCACGTACTAAAATCTAATTTGACTTAAACTATGATTTACGCGATGTAGTTACAGAATCGAATGCGTGCAACGTGGAGCGAACTCTACCAACAGGCAGATGTATCAACTCGGTTCGAAAACTAATGACAGCGAGGGACTAGAGAATTGCCTTCAATTTTAAATGCTGGGCAAAAAGTCATACGCTAATGCACGAAGAATTGGACGTATTTCTATCAAACAGAACTATGTGCAGGTGAGAAATATGGGGCGCGCTCTAGAAAGCTGCAAAAGGAACAATATGAAAAGGGCGTGATTTCTTTTGAAGAATTGGAAAAGCGGGATTTTAAATTCAGCAAACAGAGCTATGTGCAAACCGAATGCGGGATATATGAGCCGCGGGCATGGCACGAGAGCGTTGTGGACATGGCTCATGAGTTAATGACCACCATCCATCTCCGGTGACGTCACTGACGCTTTATTATTCTCATTCACTCTTACGGCCAGAGAACTGACGAGCACACCCCATATTTCTCACCTGCACATAAATCTGTGTGATAGAATTACGTCCAATTACAGGCCTGCGAGTCGATTGTTAAATCGTTATCGAATGAACTCAAAAATCCCTGTCTTAGCAATGCTTTTTATCGATCAAGGTCATTCGATATCGATTGTTGAATCGTTATCGAACGATCCTGATCGATAAATCCCTATCGAAGCAATGCTGTTTATCGATCATGGTCATTCGATATCGATTTTTGAATCGTTATCGAATGATCCTGATCGATAAATCCCTATCTCAGCAATGCTTTCTATCGATCATGGTCATTCGATATCAATTGTTGAATCGTTATCGAATGGTCCTGATCGATAAATTCCTATCTTAGCAATGCTTTTTATCGATCATGGCCATTCGATAATGAGTCAACTATCGAGTCGCTGCTCAGGTTTTCTCTTCGACAGTTTGTCGAAGACAAGTATCGCCGCGAGAAATTAATCAGAAACTCCAAACGCGTTTTGACCACGTTCGCTTTCAAGCAAGTAGATATTGAAGTGTGATTCGCATGTTAATATGGTGTCCTAGCACTCTTTAAAGGAAACTAAGAGAGTTGTCTTGGTGAGTTTCAGACAACAATAGATTCGGATAAATATGGGATTAACACGTAAAGAGCATGTGCAGAATATAGATTCTAATGTGAGTTAGATACTTCAATAAGCCACTACCATAGGTTTCATTTCTTTTTCTTTTTTATAACTTTTGAGCTTAACAAATTGTACCAATAGTATATCATACTAGTTTTGCCACTAAATATAAGCTCAGAAGTCTTAAAAAATAGATTGAGATTCAATATTTGACTTTGTCATCAGTTCAGACCATTTCCAGTCAATTTGTACCTAATTTTGGGGAGTTCGCATATAGAATCACCTGAATAATCATCGAAATCACAATGATTATGATCACAAGATTGCACGACGTAAAATGAGGAGACCATAATCTTCTCTGCAAATGTTGAATGAAATTGAACAGATAGATTCTGAGCTAGGCTGTGCACAGATTTTGGGGACGCCGGACGAACGGACACACATTTTTTCAAGTATGGTTATTTTGACTCCAGGGACCCTAAAACGTCCAGAAATGATAAAATTTCAACTTTTTTCCCTCCTTGAAGGATGACAATACTTCCTCTACCCTAGGGGCGCGAGAAAGTAAAAAAGTCTCTGGGCTCTTAAAAATGTTGACAAGGGAAAATACTCATGATTCGATCGGGTTCTTGCTTGAATCTAGGGATGTCGATACTTATCCGATACTTGCAAAGTATCGATACTTTCGATCGATACTTAACGATACTCGGCATCGATACTCCACGATATCGATACCATGCAGTATCGATGCCAAGACCCCAGTATCGACGGTTTCGATACTTAATCTGATTTGGCCATGAAGAAGGCCTCTTTTTCTTTTTTAAAAAATTCTCTCCCCACTATTTCACCTTCATGATGCACTGTGAGTACTGTGACAAACGACGGAGTAATCAAGTTTCTCAAGATGATTATACTTCAATAAAAATGTTAAAAGCTCAGTTCGATAAGTGTAGTTAAGGGCTCAAAATGGTTGACTAAGGACGCGAACAGGGCTTTTCCGAGAGAGGCGTAAATCTGGAGGGATTTAACGGCCGACAGACATACGCACACTCAGAATCACGGCATAATTCAGAAATAGTATCGATGGTATCGATACCTCATAAGTATCGATACTTCAGCTCGATGCTCGATACCGGTATCGATGCTTAGAGTCGATACCAGTATCGATACCGAGTATCGATACTTCCCTGAGTATCGACATCCCTACTTGAATCGAGAGCCAAGCCTCTTAATTTAAGGATAATTCCTTTTGATTTCAGCAAAAATCCGATTGGATCAAGAGCCTTTTTTTTGCCAAATTTGTCAAGAGTCTAGACTCAAGATCCGCGAGACTTTTTTCCAGTGTAGACTTGAATAAACCAAATAAAATCCGACTAACAGTTTGATCTTATTTCTTTGTTGCAGATCAAGAATCCAAACGTGAGCGCTGGTCTCGACAAAACCGGTGCACTCCAGACATGCGGCACAAAATCACGTCCTGGAAAATGAAGTTCAAAGCATCGGACCACGTCACCGATTTCAAGAAATGATGTAGGGCCGACGACTCAGGCCCCGCTTCCTTTTTTTATCATTTTTTTTCTGGTGCCTCCTCTCTGCGGAAACTTCGGGAACCTCCGTCCTGATGCTCAGCGGAAGCTGGATTAAGGAGAGTTTCCTAAATCGAAGCATCTGCAAGAAATGGGACGGGGTTGAGGGGAAGGACTCCTGCGGGGGGTACATCGGCGGGGGCGGGGACGAGGACCTGGTGTTCAAGATGCCGCCTCTGAGCACGTACAAGACGACGTCCACGTCGGCGTCCAACTCGTCGGACCGAAACTCGCACAACGACTCCAACTTCCGACTCAAGATCATGACCAACGGCTCGAGCCACAGCGGCTCGTCCCTCAGCGAGAACTTGACCCCGCGAACTTTTTTGGAGAAGTACTCGTTGCCGCGAGTCGTTCGGGTGGTGCCCCAGGAGCCGGTGGCCGACCTCCTCGGATCCAACGACCCCATCGCCCTCCTCAACGGCCACATCCTCATGTACAAGCAGTACCGGAGCGGCAAAGTCGAGGCCAGGAACTTTTCCGAAACTAGACTCGGACATAAGCATCTCAATGGAAATGAATACGATTCTCTCATCGTCATACCCGATTCATTCCAAGGTAACACTCTTCTTCTTCTTCTTCTTCTTCTTCTTCTTCTTCTTCTTCTTCTTCCTCTTCTTTTTCTTTTTCTTTTTCTTCTTCTTCTTCCTCTTTTTCTTTTTCTTCTTATTCTTTTTCTTCTTCTTTTTCTTCCTCTATTTCTTCTTCTTCTCCTCCTTCTTCTTCTTCTCCTTTTTCTTCTTCTTTTTCTTTTCCTTCTTCTTCTTCTTCTGCTTCTGCTGCTGCTGCTTCTTCTTCTTCTTCTTCTTCTTCTTCTTCTTCTTCTTCTTCTGCCTCTGCCTCTGCTTCTGCTTCTTCTTCTTCTTCTTCTTCTCCTTCTTCTTCTTCTTCCTCCTCCTCCTCTTCTTCTGAGAGACAAGGACCGTCCACTGGTATCTTGGCAATGGTGGAACCTTTTACTTTCGGGACTTCAGCATTCTTCTGTTGACTTACCTGCATGGTTGATGTTTAACAACGTGTTGGCTGTTCCGTTTTGCAAACAAGCCGAAGTTTGGGAAACTTGTTTGGCTCATGACGTCACCCAAAGCTCATCATCCACCATGTAGGTAGGTCAGCAGCCGAAATAAGAGTGATGACTGTTGCTTCCTTATAATTGTCCATAAGGAATTGTTGAATCACCGAAAGTAAAAGCTTCCACCTGTCGCCAAGAGGCTAATGGAGGGTCTCTTGTCTCTGCTTCTCCTCCTCTTCCTTCTTCATCTTCTTATTCTTCATTGACCGCTTAAGATTGGTAGAGACTGAGAGCGTGTGGCTTGTCCTCAGCCTAGGCGGGACAAGAGTCACTGTAATATGATTTTTTCCCCACTTCGAAGCACCAAAAATAATGTAGAATAGCGGCCATCTCAAAAACAGCTCGCACTAGAAGGAGTAGTAACCATGGGCAGGGTTGACATTTTTCATGAGAAATAAAATCTTAAAATTCATGTGAAATATTTCATGAAATTTCAGAAAATATGAAAAATATTGAAAAGTATGAAAAACGTTGAAAAATATTGAAAAACATGAAAATTATTGAAAAATATGAAAACTATTGAAAAATATTTTTCGAAATTGCAATGCAAACTTAAATGAAAGGGAATGATTTTCGCCTTTTGGTAGTTTTTAGGGCGTGTTGCATACCCAACCCTTGAAAATGTGTTTCATATTTTTCACAACTTTTTGAAATTTCATGAAATATTTTACGGAAATTTTCAATATTTCATATTTTTCATTTCACCAGTGCAACCCTGACCATGGGTACTCATGGGAACTTTTGAACAGGTGAAGGAAGAGCAATCGCGTAACTGAACTGTTTAGTTCATATGAAATGGCTCAATGGATCACCAGAAAGGGCAATAAGAGTCGTAATCATAGTTGTTTCTCAAGAAGCTTCCTCCTTTGGGAAGGCTCCAGATGGTCTACATTGTCATTAAGGAATATATCTCAAAAATGACAAATTCGAACATTTCGAGTGAAATTCAGCATCATAACATTGGAAACAGTTCTTTGGAAAAGAATGGACATTTCGCCCCGAATGAGACAAAATACAACAACCAAAAAAGAAAAAGAAATACTGGGGACATTTTTTTTAAAATCACACCTACATTTTTTCCTTTGTAAGAATTTTGTACTTTTTGTCGATGCAAATCATTCCAAGTTCCTGCAAGACATCATTTTCAAAGCTGCATTGTTAAATCTAACTCGAAGCTCGTAAATACTCTTCATGATCATGTAAACCACTTGTGACTGCCACAGCGAAAAAAGCTGCTAGAGAAACTGCTATGAATACAGATCTAAGTAATTCAGCACAACACATATTTCCGCATCCCATTTTCACGTCAAACACCGTGAACGCCGAATTTAACTCACAAATGAGGGAAATCGCCGTATTTTATACCTCCCGCCTGCCAAAAAACCAAAATCTAATTGAATATCTCAATTTTTGAGACGCGATGTTAATCCGAGTAAAATATCAGGTCTTAAATTACTCACTAGTATCTTCATTTTTAATTTGACAATAACGACGCTGGGAGCCCAGCTCCAAGAAATAAGAATTTTTTCTGTCACCATGCTCATATTGTGTTTGAGATCCCACCTACTTTTTAATCGTAGTTACAATATTGTGTTTTATGGTAACAGTTATTTTGGTCCCGGTAACAGACCAACATTGATATCACTCGGCACCGGAACATAACATTCTATCACTATACAACTACGATTGCAAAAGTAGGTGGGACTTGAAATGCACCGTGAGCATTGTATCAATGAATATTTTATTTTCCGTGTTATAGGAAAGTGATATCTTGTCAGGGTCATTACAAATCATCCTCTTAACCTCGGTACTTTCAAAATGATAGATGCTGCTGTGTATGCAAACTTTACGCAATTGCAAATACAATTTTAAAGCAGAACCTGTCAATGTGTAAAGCTCGATTCTTATATTGTCTTTTCATCACTTTGCAATGTGTTTTTTTTCAGGCTGGTTCAGTGTAGTTACCGAAAGAGGACAAGTCAAAGCAAAAGCGTACAACTCGATGAACAGGCTTGTCTCGGCACAAGTCACTTCGTTTTTGACAGTTGGCCCTGATATTATAGCGTACACTCAAAATAATCGTACTAATTCCGGTAATACTCTACTTTAAAATTGTCAATTTTAATGACTTTCACCCGTTGTTCTATCTTCGAATAATATTCAAATTATGACATATTATCTCAGAAATGAAATTACGCAGCGTTCTGAGAGGAAGAGAGGAGGCAAGTTTACAAAACTACATTTACAACTGAAAAATTAAATAACACCGAGAAAAAATTTTCACATGTTTTTTATTTTTATCTTAGATCGTAGAAATTTTGGCTAGTACCTAATTCATCATAATCCACTCCAAGTATCAATGTGCAGAACCGATCCAAGCGTAAATCTTACAATTAATTAGCCAGCAATTCTGTTCCAGCAAAACATTCATTTATTGTTTCACTATCTGAGCAACTTCATATTATTGAACATCATTTGAAGACATCTAAAATTTGTCATTTAAAATTTCTCGCAATTTTTTTAAAAGTTTTGAAATTAAAATCACGCAATAGATAATAAGAAGACGCAAATGTATACGATTTATCTGAATACTGATTACTGATATACTAATTTACTTTAACAGCTTCAATATTCTATTCGAATTTTCTTATTTGCTCTTTTAGATGGGAGTCGGCAGCAGTACTGCAAAACTACTGTGAAAAGTGGTCAAGTCTTGAAATTGCTTGCAGTCTATCAAGATCTTGCAAATCAGTCAACCCGATCAAAACGACTATCGTGGCCCTTGATTGGAAGCCGGCAGGAGACTAACCGTTATGCTCAATGCCTCTCCTCCTCAAATCAGGTATGCACTTTCATTTTCTCCTCTAAACTCTTCGGATTGTAGGAAAGTAGCTTTAACACAAAGTCGAGTCACGGGCTCGAAATTATTTTTCTTACCTTCAGTGTTTGATCATGAGGCAAACTTCACTGCCTGTATGCTATATTTGTATGTGTAAAATGAAAAAAAAAAAAGAACAGATATTTTTTCTCTTATTTTATCTTGATAGTAGCATAATTGCATTAAAGCTTATTTTGAGTCTGTAAGAAAGGAAAATCACTTCATACGTATATAATGGACAGGGGATAGATATATTACATGCTGCACTGGAAAAGTATGCGGTTACGCGTATCAATGTTCGATCCGTATGGGTACGGTATAGTTCGGTTCGCATAATCGAACATTCAATCTGCGAAACCGAAGTGCGGCTATACAAACTGAACTTCGGTTTATCAGACCGAATGTTCGTCATGCGAATCTAACCGTGTTCTATAAGGGTCGAACTTTAGTACATGTAGCCAAACTTTTTTCTGTGTATGCTTTGTTTTTATTCGACATATATCTGAATTTTAAATTGTCAAAAAGCATTGTATAAGTAATTTCCAACTACAAGTCATTGCAAAGTATTTAGGGAGTAAAAATTGTATAATACACCCTCAAAATTTGTATAAAAGGACTGAAGACTTATATAATCTTTAAATTGGTGCATCCTAACGTTTTACAGGCTTCAGGAAGCATTTTTCCGGAGAAACAGTACTTACGTAGTTTATGCAGTTTAAAATTATCCCCCTTAAATTGTCACTCAATGCAGAGTCGAACAATTCATTTGTGAACCCGATGATTTCCCATTGAGAGCTAATCTCGATGATGCTCGTGGCAAAATACTCACCATAGAAAGAGAGGCAACCTATACAAATACATGAGATTTTATGTGAAGCTTTTACTGTCTATTTTTTTTTTATCTCATTTATTTATCTTCGATTATGTTTTCAGGTTTTATACATACCCATCTCAACGCATGGCCAATTTTATGCTATAACGACGGTAGCAAACAATTCAGAGGAAAATGTTAGTAAAATTTACCAGCTTCCAAGGTTGCTGCGAACATTTCCCCTCCCAGTTCGAGTCTGCATTATCTCATCAACAAAACCTCAAGGTTTGTACCAATACGTTTTTGTGAACTATTTACAGGAGATCTTAATTAGTTTTGGCTGAAAGTACATATGGTCTCTTTCATTAAAAAAGAATCGTTAAAATGTGCTTCCTGAGAGAACTTGATAAGAGAAGTGCGGATTACTTATCGATTTCACCCTTTTCATTATTCAAGATTAAGAAAAACTACTAGAAAATACTCTCGTTGATTCTCATGCAATGGTACCGCAGCGCAAGTTAAAGAATGCCTTCAATCTGGGTCGATACAATATGCACGACATTACTATGCGCTACATATCTCCAGAGTTGAAGGCACTTTCATCTTCCTTTTCACCCGGAGCATGTTAGTTTGTTTCATTCCAACATTCTAATGTAACAAATGCACTGACACGAGTGCATAGGGCGCTGAGGAAATTACTGTTTTAATAAAATCTAGTTATTAATTACCTCAAAAAATGTCGACTTCATATGTTTAAAGGAGACTCGGTATTCTTTGATTCTGTGCATCATTATTGGGATTTAATTTTCTTTAGACCAAATTTACCTTATCGCGTAACCGATTTTTTGGCTTTCTTAGCTTTTTCTTGATTACATTAATTATAGACGTTATTTGACAAAACGTAACCGTGGATATCAAATACTTGATAAAATACCTATGATAAAATACCCATAAATACTCGATTAATTTATTTTAATTGACATAATAGAAGCGTTGTGTTGGTTTGAATGCAATTTGATACAACCGATAAGATCTTTTCAATTGTAGTGGCTTGAATTCAAACGTAAGCGCAACTTCTTTCAATGATTTTACTCATTGAGTATTCGATATTCGTTGTGACGAAAGACTAGGGTCTTGTATTTTAGCGTAAAACTATGAAAGACATGAAGTTTTAAATTTCTAGAAAAGAATATTTACACACTTATTACACTCATTTACTTACTTTTTCGCCCTATGTGAATACATTGAGCGATTACAGTGGTGATTTACATAGGGCGAAAAAGTGAGTAAATAAGTGTCATAATGCAAACCGATCAAGAAAGTCAAAACACAAGAATATTTGTTTGCTTATGATCTAGTTTCCTTCGAGAAATTTTTGCACCCGCTTGATTATTAAATCCTTGGCGATTTCCGATGTGCCCTTTGTAATTCCATCTATTTTAATGTTCACAGGGTCAATGTTGCTTGAAAGTTATCACAAGGAAGACGTGATTTTGGCCTGCGTTCTTGACGGCGGGTCTACTCCTAGAGGAAGCCTATCATCGAATGATAGCAGAAATAAGACTGATCAATACAGACTCCTAGAAATCGACATCAACTCGAAGTTTTTCATCATGAGGCCCACGGAGCACGAGTACGACGAGCTGCGTCTTTTCAAATCTCCCAAAGTGCAGAAAGCCTTGCGGTTTTGCCACGAAAACGGCGAGAAGTGGTGCAAGCAGCTCAAGATCATCCATCACATCTATCCAGAGAACGTGATCAAAGAGCTGAACGCCATCAACGAAAAGAGTCTCGAGAGCAACAAGAAAGAGAAGAAATCAAGACGAGTGTCTCTAGGCGACAAGAAGACGGTCAAGTCTGCCTCCTTCAGATTTTCCACCTCTTACGGCCCCGAGGATCCACGACCCCTGTACAGAAATCTCAACGCTCAAAATGTAGCCTCGATAGCGACCGCGGTAACGACTACCTCCACTACTAACTCGACGTCGACCTGTGATTCGAATTCCCTCTACCTTAATCTCGCCAACCACAGACTCATCCATAAGAACTTCGGTGGGAACGAATGTTTCTCTTTACCAATGATGAAAACAGAGAGGAACATTTTCGACAACGAACTCTTCCGCTCCAAAACAAGTTCCTCTCCCTCCTCGACGAAGCAACCACCACCCCTTCCATCGAAACCTCCCTCTTCCCGCGGCTCTAAGAATTATCTGAATCCTCCCTCATCACCCCCTCCTCCCCCACCTGTGTCAAAACCCCCGGCAGCCCCTCCTCAAAACAGTCCCCCTCTGCCTCCACCAAACTTCGTCCTATCGAACAGCAATAGCAATAGCAGCAGCAGTCGAGTGAGCAAGCACAATGAGAGTAGTCTACCAAATGTAAATAGCATCAACTCAGGATCCTCAAACGTAAACGATAGTTTTAGTGATAGCAACACTTTAAGTGCAATGGAAAGACTGGATATGTTAACCAATTCATCGAGTATAAAATCAAGAAACGAAGACGCGGACATCAGCCTAGCTTCCTTAGATAGTTACCATAAATCCGAAAAACTTCCTCAGAGCAATAACAGTGGCAATCGTGGTAGGGACAGCAATCCGAGCAGCAATAAAAGTAGTTTAAAATACAATCACGTCAGTAGTATCGAAATCAGCAACAACGAGAAAAACATTATCATAAATAATAGTAGTAAAAGTAGTAAGAGTAGTAAAACAAAATCAGATAAAGAGCTAGTCACGTATTTAAACAAAAACAATCATGTTACCAATAGCAAAAGTTCGAGCAACCCGAAAACCAAGCCAGAAAGAGATAAGAGTGTGGATCAATCAATTCGTGATGTTGACAAGTTCAAAATTGCGCCTGAGGCTGATTTTAAGTATAGGGTAATTAGAAAAACTGTCAACAATTACTCTCACCAGCCCACTCAAGAGCCAATGTCCTTAGATAGCGCTGAAAGACCCGTCTACAAGACACGGCTGTTGGTTCAAAATGTTGATTCAACCCCTAAATCCCTAAACATCCCCTACACACCGGTCATTGATCTACCTTTGAAAACCAATGTCACAAGTAACAATTTAAAAACTGAGATCCCGTATACGAATGTTAAGGATGCTATCTCTCCCAATGAGTCGGACGTTTCGTCTGGGTCAAGTGAGAATGTTTACGCCGAAATCGGCGATGTTTATCCAACCAATGATCGCAGGTATTTTTCTTTCAACTACAACAATAAAGCGAGGTTACGCCCGTTCAAATTGGATTACCAAAGTGGCGGTAGTGATGGATGTTTTTCTGGTACTAACTCGAGTTCGAATAATGATGGATCTGTATGATAGTTGTAAACATATCATTTAGTTCAAATTGTACAAATTTGTGTGTATAGTTGTATTAGTCTTAAAGCTTCACTCAGTGATATTTAAGTATACTTACTAAGAAAGGATTAAAAAGCAACCTTCTCTTCATTCTGTTGTTTTTGTTCTTCTCCGTCTTCAACTCCCTTTGATAATTACAATTTTTCAAGCCACATATGTAATATTTACTCAGACAAGGTCAAACCAGCAATTATTTGAAAGATTAGGGGAATTATAAAACATAGCTGACCTTATAGAAATTTTATTTTCAACCGGGCTCTGTGGCTTCCATGTAATTTTAAAAATACATTGAAAACGTTATTAAATACTAGCCACGAAGAGGTTGAACGTCTGCTGTATACTTGGAACACGATCGTGAATTGTTCATGAATTATTCATTTTTGGAATTTGCTAAGTGAATGCAGGCGCAAATTGTTTCAATACGATTGCTCATGGGCATGTATATTTTTAAAGTGAGAAATATTTAAATGGGAACAGACAGACCTCATCAAACGGCAAATCCTTCTATGCCTAACACTTAACATAGCATTGCGTATGATGGACGTAAATCGGAACTGTCAGCTTCCTGTAATTGTTGATTTTTTCCCTTAAATAACTTTTACTCGCAAAAAGTCTCTTGAATAATTTAAATTATTCCACAGATAAATGAAAATAAAATGGAGATAGTTGCAGTGAAAAAAGTCTTTAGTCTTCCTTATTCCCATTTAATTGATGCTTTAACACTAATTCAGTCTTTTAAGTCATTATCATACAAAAAAGTTTGGTTCCGTCTTGTGCGTTTTTTTTGTGATACTTCTCAGGTGTGCGCCATTTTATTCTCCAGTCATGACTTCCATGAATTCTAAAACAAAATGATTAGTAAATGCAATTAAACTGACGCCATAAGAATAGGCTCATATTTAAGTACAATTTAACTCCAGTTTCAACTAAAAAAAAAAAAAAAAAAAAAAAAAAAAATTAATACACTACTTTATTGCAATAGCCACCCCATGAACTATTTGAGCTATTCCCACAGGTAGATCCCGCCAACAGTACTGCCGTGCTAAGGAAAAACGCCTTATGAACATTCGAAAGTGCCCAAATTTCCTTCGATAAAATGTTCTTGTTTAAGGAAACTTATGAATATTTTTCCTCAACATTTTCAAGAACTTTAGGTGAAATTGGGAACCAAAGTCTCTGAAAATTGAGAGAAAAAATATTCATAAGCTTACATCGGAATTGGGGTTTTATCAAAGAAAATTTGGCAACGCCTAAAGGCTCATATGGCGTTTTTCCTTACCACTGCAGAATAGCTGCAAATATTTTTTGGCGCTTGTTTGGTTCAGAAAACGCAATTCCCCTTCGACTGTGCATATTTTTATGCATGTGAACTAAACGTGTCGACTATTATTCGTCCCTTTATCGTCGATCCCAAAAAAATGTTGTTGTTGTGGACTGGTAGAAAATCATAGCATCATGCACAAATTACAATGGTGTTTCAAAATTGAAATCTGCAGTTTGTAAAGCATTGATCACCTAGTCATTGGCAGTGGGAGTAGAAATAAAAGTTTCACTTCGCGCCCAGTTAATTTGCTTTTTAATTTAATTTTTTAAGAAAACATTGGTCTCTTGAACTAGAATTTAAAAATCTGCGTATGTGCTTGTGAGAGGCCTCTTTACTGATCTGATTTAGCTTAATTATGAAGCTAAATGCTGTACATGAAGTCTTATTTGATTGAATGCTAATACTCATTGCTACGCACTTTCTTCTTTCGATGATCCTCAAAGAATAAAATCATACCCCTGGTAAAAATCGGCGATAAGAGCTGCGTTTCAAAATACCATAGGAATTCTTATAGCCGGCTAAAAGGCTACAGAAAATCATATAGCTGGCTGTAGAATGCGGAGAAAATCATACGGCCGGGCCATACGAAGCGACAAAAAATTATGCAGCCGGGCTATAGTTCCTATCGCCTGGCTGTTGCTTGCTCGCCATCGATTATAAAAGGCTATATGAAATTGTGTAGAAATTCGTGTGCTTTAGAAATCATTAAGTTTGATACGGAACCACCTTAATATTTACAAAACACACATTATATTTTCCTTTAATACATATTTATTTTCATCAATTACAATGAGAATAATCCATACAGGATGTGCAAACATTTCAAAATCATGAGTTGAATAACGTTGACTCCACCAGATTAAATATCAGAGCGTAACACAAAGCGGAGCGGCGACGCACTGGCGCCTACAAACCTAACAGGGATACTTCAAGCATTGCGCAACGCGTGAAGTATCCCGGTTAGGTTTGTAGGCGCCATTGCATGTTCCGCGCTGGCTGCCCGCCTGCCACGGCGCTTGAAGCAACTATTTCACACCAGAAGTACTGCACAGTATCATACGAAACTGAATGCGCTCTAATATATTAGTAATGGCAGGCATCCATCAAACGTACGGAGCTTTCCTCGCAAAATAAATCAAGATACTACGGCCCAAAAAAAGAGCAGTATTCCAAAAACTCGCTAAGTCCTAGCATCCGTAATTAGTAACGTTTAGCATACACTTTATCGCCTGGCTGTTGCTTAGTCGCCATCGGCTATAAAAGGCTATAAGAAATTGTGTAGCCGGCTATGGAAGCTATTGGAAATCTTACAGCCGGTTGTAGGTCTATGGTATTTTGGAACACAGATTCTACTGCCAATTTTTACCAGGGACATGGAAACCGTAGACTGATTTCACTGTCATAAATTAAAAATTTGACAAAACAACAACGAAAGCATATTTGAATGTCACAAAAAACTTACCGTCAAAGTCTACCGTTCCAGATCCGTCAGCATCAATTTCCTCGATCATTTCATCTAGATCATCGTCAGTCATTTTATCATCTAGTTCGTATAAAATTTCCCGTAAAACATCAGTTGTTATGTATCCGTTTCCTGGAAATTTACGGAAATAATCAAATTAAGCTTTAATTTCAAACAGACATCATGCGTCTTGTGTATCATAACATACTGTTCATCATAATTGAGTAACAACTTCGATTGCACGGGCCATAACTCGGTCCATATGGGAATATCCAAGTCTCTAGTCGTGGTAACCGAATTTTTTTGTTACAAAAGCCGAACTTTGGCTCGGGCAACCAAAACCGTCGGTGAAGAACACGAGTCTCTCTATTGCTAGCAAAAAATTTAGTTGTCTGAACCGAAATCAGATTCATATAACCAAAAATTTTGTATTCCATGTAAGCCGAAAAACTAACCGATACGTTTTCTTGGAAATTTCTTCTGTGAATGTGCTTCACTCATTCAAAGTATTCACAAAAAATATCGAAAAGAGACTTTGGTTAGCTTAATTTTAAAATGATACAATTTACTGGAAGTTGCAGCCGCAACGTTGCACACTTTTCAACTTTAGACATGGATTATTCTCCATTCTTAATGTAAGGTAGACGGAATAATGAGCTAAAGCAATCGACAAATTTTAGCTTTTGGACGAATTGTGTGCTTAATTTTTTCTCTGATAGGTATGCAAGTACTGATATCAAAGCACGATACTTAGCATGCCGCTTACTGGGCCTATTAAAAAGAGATCCTGAAGAAACTATTCTGAAATGGACTAAATTTTGCAATTTGGAACTAAAATTTCTGGCTCAGTTTAAAAACAACGCAGGTATGCACAGAGCCGGATTTAGGGGGTGGCTACATGAACCGCGGCCCATGGCGGCAAATTTTGCAATTTTTTTTAGATGTATTTAAAACATTGGATTCAGAAAAAAAATTACAAACGAGAAAAGGCGACAAAATCTCTCATTGCCGGAGAGTACAGTAAGTATTTTGTCGTCTTTCGGAGATACAAGAGACAGTATCTTTAATTAGTCGAGTTAAGAGAGAAACCAACCACGCGCAGTTTGGCTTGGAACGGCGCGGCGCAGAGAGGAATGATGACGAGGGCTTGAAAAGGAGAAGCCCCACCTCGGCGTGGCGCGGCGGTCGGCTAGTAACACATATTAGCGCCTACAAGACTGCACGAATACTTCACGCATTGCGTCAAACACAGTGCGATCAGCGCGAAACGCATAGCGCCTACAAGACTGCGCGAATACTTCACGCATTGCGTCAAACACAGTGCAGTCAGCGCGGCGCGGCGGCAGAAGTTAAAATTATTAAACCACATTAATTATGTTTGCTCTTTCATAATAGTTTTTTCATTTCTTCTAAATAAAAGGCCTTGTCTACACAGAGGTAGGTTTACGAAACTTAACTTTCGCGCTAAGTTCCGTAAACTTTTGCTGGTAGTGTTGACAGAGCTTTCGCAAAAACATGTTTCCGACACGAGTAAACGCGTCTTATGCACCCCTCCCCCTCCGGCACGTTCACTTGATGGTTTTTATTGGTGTTTCAAAACGAATGAGAAGGGGCGGCAAAATACCGGCGGCCCATGGGTGGCAAGTAGATGAATCCGGCCCTGGGTATGTACCATTATAGTTTACCTGCACACATAGGTACAAGGTACTTTTATGGATGAGCCAGTAATTCTTGTTCCTGATTGCAAAATGAAGTCCCTTGAAGAGGATTTTTCCGATTATTTTTATCTTTCCCTCCTACGACCAATTATGTAAATTGCAGGTGTCCTCTTTACAATCCCCATTTCTTCAAATGGGAAAACAAACATTTAGACGTGAAGTAATGATTGTCTGCCGATAATTACCTTCTTTATCATATAAACGGAATGCCTCACGAAGCTCGGCACGCATGGCAACAGGGTCCTCCTCCTGGTCTTCGGATAGAAACCGGGAGGCCAATTCACAAAATTCGTCAAATTCCAGCTCTCCGGACCCTTGAAAGAGAGAAAATCATGAATTTAATTTTTCAAAATCTTTGATAGAAATGCCTTCATTAACTCTGCCGTGCTAAGAAAGAACGCCGTATGAACATTCGAGAATTGCCTAATTTCCTTCGATAAGATGTTTAGTTTTGAGGAAAATTATGAGCATATTTCCTTGAAATTTTCAGAAGTTTCAGATCAAATTACAAAGAAAATTATCTGATAAATCGGCAGACAAATATTCAAAAAATTTCCTGAAAACCAGTGATTTGCCAGAAGGAATTTGGCAACGCCTGAAGGTTCATTCGGCGTTTTCCCTCAGCACGGCAGAACTATACATTTGACTTGTTCATTCATAATGCGCTGAAAAGAAAGCCCCCTAACGTTATTCTAGATTCTACATTTTTTACAAATTGACAAAAACGAAAAAGTACAAGACATAATCGTCTAATTTCAGAGTTTTTTATCTCCGTAATTGTAATGGGTATGCCATATTTTGGAAAACTCAGTTAATGGTGTCTTCCACCGCATTTTTATGAGCCGGGAGTTCTCTAATCATGGACTAATGAGACAAAACTAGGAGGAAGCTAGTATATGCTTTAGATATATGCAGATAACATGTGCATGCATATTAATGTTTCGGATAACGTCATCCATTATTCTCTTACAAAACCCATACCGCAAAATCTAAGATCAAAATTTTGCTTGGACATATTTCCCCTCACTTTCCTCGACAAAGAGAATTATTTAACCGTTGGGGTATAATTCAACTGTTAGTCAATTTTGCATTTATCTCTAACTGCAAATGTGGGATCTGACAGTTGCGCGACAATTGCTGACCGATCAATCGTTATAAGATGCTTCCCAACGTATCGATGCGTTCCCAAGTTTTCAAAAAATTAAAAAAAAAAAAAAAAAAAAAAAAAAAAAAAAAAAAAAAAAAAAAAATCCGTACCCAAATACCCTTACTCGACAACCATCGATCTATGATGACAACTTTAGAAAGGTTATTTTTATTGTCTGAGAAACAGCATACGGAGAAAATATCTCAACATGGGTATCATACCATCTGCGTCGACTTCGGCAATAATTTGTCTGAGTGTTGGTGCGTCTTGGGGATGACCCATCATCTCCAGAATTGTTCCAATTGTATCCGTAGGAATGCATCCTTTTTTCTCATGATCAAATGCGTCAAACGCGTTTTTCAGCACTGTAAAATCCCATCAATATAATGCACACAAGAAATTGAAACAAGTATACATAAAATTCATCGAATAAAATGGAAAGACATGGACGATCAGTCAATATTGAAGGTCTAAACTGACTGATATCATTCCGCGTTTCTCATGCTGAATCGATTGGATATCATGCTGGCTCAACATAATATTTATATAATTCAACTATTGGATTGCGGGGGAAACTAGCACTGTACTGATATGCCGATGTCATAAAGATATGCTGATATCATACTGATACGCTGATATCTCACTGACGTCGTGTCGGGAAATTAGTCGTTTCACATCTTGATATCATGGTGATCGACTTTACCAGGCTAGACATCTTTTTCCGACCGATAATCCCTCGAAATATCAATACAGAGGCGGATCCAGCAACTTGGCAACACCGGATTCCCTCCGCTTAAACCTATGTTAAATAATCAATTCTCGTCGGAGCACCTGGCCCCTCTAAGAATCGATAAATTTCCATGGGTTTAAATGGTGAAAAACAACATTGCCAATTTGCTGGCTCCGCCAATGATTATGGGGGGAAATGAGAGTAACAGAGGAGAGACGCAGAAAATAGGACGGGGCAAATGGCAACCATCTTTTCGCGGTAATCCAGGATTGCGCAAAAGGTCTAAGCAAGTATACGAGGATTGCGTGAAAAAGGCATCAGGATTGCGCGAAAAAGGCATCAGGATTGCGCGAATAGAAACCTGAACATCTGCCAGAGGAATGCGCGACTTTAAAATGAAGTTAATTTAAGGTAGAAGTCTGGCAAAACAAAAAACATTTGGAAAATAAACGCAATTTGACAGGTCATCGATGTCTTACCTTCTGATGATAAATGAAGTGAAAAGATTTAATAATGGTTGTGGGTATAAAGAACTATCCTAACTTTTCTCGGAAAAAATATTTAATCGGGAGAAACGAGGCAACGTTGGAATGCTCATACGCCGTAGACATAACATTGGCCTTTTAAGCTCTATTATTCGATGCCGCGATGATTTAAATAACGCGAGTTCGAATAGTGGCGAAAAACGAAAAGGGACATGTGGTAAACGTACATTAGCGCCTGCAAGACTTTAGGAATACCTCACGTATTGCACCAAACAGTGCGGTCAGCGTCAAGCCCATGTTAGCGCCTACAAGATTGCATGAATACTTCTCGCATTGCGCCAAACGCAGTGCAGTCGATCAGCAGGCGTGAAAAGCATATTAACGCCTACAAGACTGTAGGAATGCTATAGGACTGCGTGTCATCATTCTTGACTTTCTGCTCCAGTTTTTACCATAATTAAAGGGAAAATATGTATCTTTATTGTAACGATGTAGAAACTCGAATGATATTCAATTTTTTTTGGTTACGATAAAAGAAAATAGAACGAACGAAAATATCGCGGCGAAACTGTCGATAGTTTTATTTGAGATCATTTAAGTAAATTCAAACATTTAAGCATCAGGAAATATGAATCTTAAAACATAAACAGTATTTTACTTGGAGTTGAAACTCAAAATTCCAAAAATGAATTTTGAGACGAATATGATATGAGGGAAAATGATTGGCTACTATAGAGGCAAAGGATATCTCCATTATTAAACTATTCGTGCAATTTTACTTACATTTTACTTGGTCTTTGCTGAGCTCCTCCTGGAACAAAAGTTCAAAGCTCGGTTAGTCATGAGGAGACTAATTTTCTGGTATTTGTACTGAAGAGTTCAGCGGAAATGCACCAACTCATATTTTAGAAAATTTAGTAAGGAGTGCAATAATACTCCGGTTTTCCGACAATATGCAGAGGAAGCCGCGCCGGATGTTGAAAAAATCGGATAATCGAAACCTCCAAAAATGGCCGCAAAAATGTCATTTCAGGCTCTGTTTGAAACCGAAAATCACAAACCGGGCCAGTTTTCGATCGTATTTGTAAGACATGATCATGTTCATAAAAAAAAAATCACAAAAACCACTCACACAGTATTCGTTTCTTGCCCGAAAAGCCTACGATCTTGGTCGTGCTGGCTAACTTGTTTTTGATGAAAAACTCAATTTTGACTACGTCGGATAAAGAAGCGACGGGCAATCGGTGGTCGGATAATCGGAGCATTACTGGAGTTTTGAATTGAAATAGTCATAAAATGATGTTCTCCTGTTAAAAATTCGAAGTCAATTAAAAATAGTCTGATCACCAAAGTAGTTTTTAAACTTTGTCTTCTGCGCGACATGTCTGTTCCCCCTGTGTTCTAATTTTTTTCTATTTTTCAAGTTTATTCTCCCTCTTGAAATTAACATTTTTCATCTCAATTCTTTCTCAAAATTTCTTGATCTCCACTGTAATTTCCTTTTTACTAACCTCCTTTTGTATTGTTATTTTTCTTATTGAAATAAAAAAAAAAACTTCTCTTCAGGATTTCCTCATAATAGCCTTAATGGCGGAATAAAAATTCGAATTTCTTTCTCTCAATTCAAGACCCGATATGACTTGGTGCGATTCCGTTGAACTCAATCCATAATTGTTTCGTTACGTAAATCCACTCAATTTAACCATAAATGCAAGTTCAGGCTCATCAAACATCAGACTTATCAAACAATAAGTACGCAATAGTGTTTCAGGCATCCAGATCCCTCGCAGTTTTCGTAAGATTTCTCAAACAGCTTTTTTTGGCGGGATGAGTCAATGCTATAATCATTCTACTTTTTGTTAAGTTCCATATATATTAATAAATGCATTAATTTAAAGAAATCGATCTAAAGAACGAACAAGTACATATTACTTGGTTCTTATCTATGTTTTAGAGTATGCATTAATTTCCAATCAACACAGAATATGCAGTACAAACGTTTAATTCATCAATCAAATTCAGTCATTTCGGTCAATAATAAACACACAAAAACTCCGTGATTCTACTTTATTATATTCTGAACTTGTACAGTAATTTTTAATTTTTGGATTTTTTAAAAATAGAAAAAGCACATCGTTCACAGGGATTTGCCTTGCTTTATTCGAACAATATTAGGAAATGAAAAACAATACAGAACATACATAAGTATATTAACATACGGATGTGAAGTTTGGCAGCTGAAGAAACGGACACAGGATATGCTAAGAGCAACGGAGATGGATTTCTGGAGAAGGTCGGCAGGAATTTCTAGGAGAGATCGGGTCCGTAATGATAGAGTGCGTCAGATAATGGAAGTCGAAAATGACATCGTGTTCGACGTCATGACCAAACAACTTGTTTGGTATGGTCATGTCAATAGGATGACGGAAGAGAGGCTGCCAAAAAAGATGCTTGATTGGGTTCCTCCTGGGAGGAGGCGTAGGGGACGCCCAGTGAGAGGTTGGCGACAGGGGGTGTTAAATGAGATAAGAGATTGTCAACTCCCTGATGACCTGTGGGAAGACCGAGCTTTGTGGCGTTTAGGTGTCGCAAAGCGCCAAAGAGCGCTATAACAGCGACTCGTATGTATGTATGTAAAAACAATACAAAGTTGCGCATTTTAAACTCATACTCAAACGAGTATTGCCGAAAAAGCCAAGATGGCGCCCGAAAATATTCGTTCCGCGAGGGATACAATTCCGACCGCGCAACTTATTTGCCGCGATTTAAGATCTATGCAGTCGCATCCACGAAGTCGAATGCAGGGCTGCACAGTGCACACATCAAGGCGAATTAAGGTACATTGTATTTTGTCCGAATGAATGAATCAGGCGTGAATCAAGGCGGGATAACTAAAAACAAGGGATAATTTTTTTATTTTTGGTAACTGGGTAGGGCAAAAACTAAAACGTCGTTTATCTCGTAACGATTTAAGTATAATAGTTATAATAATTGTCGAACTGAACATGTTTAAAATTATAAAGAGTACCAGAAACGGAGAGTAGGTAAGCCATGCTGAGAAATGTGCAGGGGCGTAAACATTTTTGACACAATCGTAATGAAATTGCCAAGTTCTCAACGAAATAAAAAATCATTTAGGTTAGCCATCTCAATGCCTTACCTTCGGTATTTTTTTCGGTAAGGATGCCAGGGACATTTTTCAACTCGGGTTAAAATTCGACTGCCTTTCGAATCTGGAAAGTTTGATCCACAGAGGGATCCGTACTTCCCTCAGAGAAATAAATACTTGATTTATTGCGGAGAAATCCAAAATTCTATAGTATGTATTTTGTCCCAATTTTTGGCTCTCCTGAAAAATTTTCGGAGAGAAGTATTAAATTTTTTCATCCCTGAGTCTTACACGTCATGTGATCCATAAATTATAAACTTAACTATCGGTTATTACGATTCAGTAGCAATCAGAGGGTTTTTCAACGCATTTTTTTGCATAGTTATAGTACCTAGTGCCCCTTCAAACTCTAAGCTTTAGATTAAACAATAAAAATGAAACTAAAAAACAGCGAACTGATTAAATCAACTAAAGCTTAAGAGTTGTATACCTCTTTCAAAGCAGACTGATTTCTAGATATCCCGTGGCATGATATCGATAATGAGTAGATTTATAAAATTAATTGCGCCTACCTAGTCCTCAATTGTACGGTAATTTCTGTTTAGGCGTCATGGAGAGTCCAGACCATCAATATTTGGGAAAAGCTTAGAAGAGGGGATTCTAAGGACTCCGGAACGACCAACAGTTAGTTTTCGAAATCCACGTATATGCCCCGCTTGTATTCATTTTCACGCGTTTTTCCGCGGGGAAATTTGTCAAAAAGGAATCAAGTTGGATCCTTTTGCACTTTTGAATTGTTTTATTATTTTTAGGTGCACTCATAATTCACGATTTTTAGCGAAATCAGAACATAGATGATCAAAACTGGCTGTTTAATGAGATGTGGTGGGATCGAGACAATGCCACTTAATTCTCAAGAGTCGGAGGTAATAATTGTCTTGTACTGTCAAATCACTTTTTTAGTGACAAATAGTCATTTTCTCATTTAAGTTTAACCTGGCCATAATTAGGGGCACTTTTGCTCCCTTTTCTGCGGCCTCTTCATTCCTAAAATGAGTGCCCCTCTTTTTAACCCGAATTATATCTTGGGTCTATTTATTGCGCATAAATAAACTATACACGTGGCATCGATATTTTTAAAATGGCATTTAAATCAATAAATGAAATTTCACCTTAGATTCAGACATTGAAACGAAGTTTATGATCGACACAAATCTCGAACTTAGATTTACAGCCGAGGCGGAAGGATCACTCAAGACGAGCCACTATCACCAATACCTCTCACAATACAAACATCACATTTCCTCTCAAGACAAACATCATTTATTCACAAATTGAAATAGGTTAATAGGAATAGTAAAACATACCGACATGTTTAATCAAGAGATTTGAACTATAGTTGGTAATCAGAACCAATAAAACAATCGTCACCTTTCCGCGGCTGAGACTCAGAAGACTGTCATAAAATCAATTTGTTCTTTGGTTGCTCGCTCCCTTTCGTTGAAATTAGTTTTCAATTCTCTCGAGTTCAAAGTTCAAAACCATTTAGAATCCACTGCCAGTCTCACTGTCAGCCATTCCCCTCCTCCACACTTCTCTCCTTTCGGAACTTCAGCTCAAACCCCTTTGTTGATATTTAATTGCGCGCAAAGGAATTTTTATATCCGTTCCGCACATCATAAAATCACGCGTCTGAAATTTGGAATTTCAATCTGTTGTTATACGTGCTACTATGCTCAGGAAAAGCACCGTATGAGCCATCAAATGTTGTCAAATCTCCTCGATAAAAAAGTAAAAGGAAGAAAAAAAGTGCAAATATCTTTCCGTGGCATTTTTGTTCCCGTTTAGAAACCTGTTTTTGAAACGCGTTTGAGAAATTTCGTTCGCTTTAAGTTTTAATTTTATTTGGACAATTTTTATCAACATAAAATTACATGTCCGTGCATTTTAAAGAAATGCAAGAAAGTTTTCTCTAAAATATATTTTTTAACGGGGAACTTTGACAACATTTCACTTTCCACGTGGCTCCTTCTCTTTGACACAACAGTTTATGATAGTTTTCGACTACGTAACATCCGCCTACCTACCTTTTCATCGCGTAAAAATTTCATTCAATCAGCGCATCACCATCCGAGGCACATTGACAGAACATCAACCATTTCATTCATGAATCGGTCAAAGTAGAGAATATCTGGTTACTATTTTGTTATTTTGTGCGGTAAATTTAAGAGATCAAATAATTCGTTGAATCAGTGGAAAAGTGCCACTCAGCCGGCTTAATGAAATAATGTCGGACTTTAAATTTTCAAATATCATTGAACTCAAAAAATGCCTGAGCCTGAGGTAAGTTATGCACATTTTAACTGGGTAATTTTGAATTTCGATGCGTGCAGCGAAGGTTTTTGGGCAAGATAGCAAAATATGATTGATCTAAGGGGGGTACACATTAATAGAAATATAAAAATATACACGAGATTTCTTAAAACACTGAAAAACTCAAAAGAAAATGTTAATGTTATCACAGTTCCTTTAATATATGGAGGAGTTCCAATTGACACATTACCACGTGTCCTCCTCCAATATTAATTTCTCTCTCTTTTTTTCTTCCCTCGTCCAATCACACAAGTTACACCGAGCAAAAAGCTTATTTTTGGGTTCAGATAAATATGACAATGATCATTATGACCAAGATGATTGAATTTCTTTTCATACATCTAATTACGTCATTGATATTTTAAAACTGGAATTTTTAGAAAAAATTGCATATAAATTTTAAACTCACAGCCTCAAAAATAAAATAAAAAATATTGGAAATCACAACGGCAATAAAACAAATGTTTTTGTTGGTGAATAAAATTTCCGATCAAACAATAACACAGAGATGAACGTGGAAAATACAGACCAATACAGCCACCTAGAGATGAGATGCAAACTAAAACTAAATGATCGAAAAATAATTGACTCACCACAAGCATTTTTATATATTCTGATACTTAGATACTATAAGACTTAAATTCTCAATGCTTGGATCTAGCGAGCTGAGCAGCTAATCTTCACAGGACTGAGCGCGTAATCTGCATAAGTACGCACAGCATTTAAAAGAATTCGGTGTCATCTCCCCTCTCCCGTCAATCAAGACCCCATAAGTCATCTCAGTCGAACTATGCAGGGCTTCTCAAAGTGCTCTTGGACTTTGTAGCCGATCTCAATCACAAGAATTCGCCATTCCAGTCAATCAAAATTATAGAAAGCTGGCAACACTGAATTTCCTCCATTTCAATCCATTATAAATATCGATTCTTGGTGCGGCCTGTCCTAAAATCGATTGTTTTAACTTTATGTATACAGAGGAAAACATTCTTGCAAAATTATAAGAATTGCCACAGATTTCAGTGCATATTCACTAGCTGTGCCTGAATTATTTCACACGGACTGAAATTAACATAAATATCCTTTTAGGTACTCCATTTTCAAATGGTATAGTGAGGATCATATCCATTAGAGTACCTGTATAGGGAGAGTAGCGACAGATCGGTTCATGGAGGGCTTAGGGCCCAAAAGTGCAGCCACCCTTCTCAGCAACTTCTAACACACAAAATTTCACTGCCAGCCTACAGATTTCAATTCTAACCAAGATGGCTAAGAATGTACATAAATGAGCGTTCTTTCGCAAAAATAAGTAAATTTATGCAAAAAGTGAAGCAAATACATGCTCTCTAAACGACGGTTCGTAACAATTGTATTTGTAAATCGCTCTGGACATTCGAAATTCATAGGTTGGCTGCCCTTTTGGGCCCTAACTTTATTCGCGGAGGCATCGGTGAAGGCCTGATGGACTTTCGGAGTTTCAGATCTGTCGCTACTCTCCCTATACAGGTACTCTAATATCCATAGGCTAATCCAAAAGGGGGGGGGGGGGCTTGGATGGCGTACGCCCCCCCCCCTTCGCCCGGAAAAAAGGAGGAAGAAAAATTGAAGGAAGGGGCAGAGGGATAAATAAGAAAAACCCTTACATTTGGTTATTATTTAGGACGAAATTGACTGAAACTGTGTACAAAAGCCTTCCAACATTTCAAAATTTTCTAGGGGAGGTCCCTGAACATCCTGATATCGATACACCAATTTCGAACGAAAAAAAATAACAACATGTGGGGCGCTCATAAATTCTTAAAGAAGTTGCGGAGACGCCCGATCCTCCTATTTTTTACCTATTGGCGGATCCAGCAATTTGGCAACACCGAATTTCCTCCATTTAAACCTATGAAAATGTATCGATTCTTGGAGGGGCCAGATGCTCCGACAAGAATCGATTATTTCGCATAGGTTTAAATGGAGGAATCTGGTGTTGCCAAATTGCTTGATCCGCCTCTGTTTTTACCCCGTGCATAGAAATTTGCTGCTTCATTGGCATCCTGAAACTGTTATACTGCAGAGGCGAGGCGTGAATGATCGATTATCGATAGTTCCCTACTAAAGATCGATTATAAAGGTGTTCGTTGCAAAGATCCTGTTCGTCGATCCTTTTCCATAGGTTTAAATGGCAGATCAATCGATTTATCGCGAAGCACGCCACGCTCTGCCGTGCTAAGGAAGAACGCCGCATGAACATTCGAGTATTGCCAAATTTACTTCGATAAATTTTTTAGGAAAGTTATGAATATTTGTCCTTTAAATTTTCAAAATCTTCAGTTGAAATTGCGAGTATTATCGGATAAATTGAGAGGAAAGTAGTCATTCATAAGTTTACCTGGAAATTCGCGTTTTTTGAAAGGAAATTTGGCAACGCCAGAAGGTTCATACGGCGTAGTTCCTTAGCACGGCAGTGCTGTACTGTGCCGCGCGCAGTGGCACAGGTTAGGGTATTGGTGGGGCTTGGAGGGCAAGGCACATGAGTGCAGTTTTTGAGAAAATTGAGCTATCATTGATTTCAAGTAAAACTAGTCTCGATGCATATTCTGTGAAAAATTTGCTCCCAAATTCTACTTGTTAAGCACTAAAAAGACACTTTGAACTTTCTTCCCACCATATGGCTCCATGTAATTTCGGAACTTCAAACATGTATTTCTCGAATAGCAAAAACTGCACTTAAGTACTTATGCGCCTTGTCCTCCGAGCCCCTCATTTTATCCACTGAAGACCACGCACGAATACTGTCGTGCTAAGGAAAAACGCCGTATGAACCTTCAGGCGTTGCCAAATTTCCTTTGGTAAATCACCAGCTTTTGGGGAAATTTATAAATGAATATTCTCAAATTTTTCAGAGCATATTGTTTGTATTTTGATCTAAAATTCCTGAAAATTTCAAGGAAAAACATTCATCGCTAACCTCAAAAATTAAAACTTTATCTGAGGAAATTTGGTAACTCTCGAATGCTCATACGGCGTTTTTCCTCAGCACGGCAGTATACGCGTATAGGCCGCTATTAGTGCGGGGTCCTCAATTGATACATTCAAAATCTTCCCGTTTATGTTTCCGATTCAAAATGTTTTGTTACCAAATAATACTGATGGAATAAATACAATTTTCTTCCTTTCCTTCTGGATTTTCCTCTGTCTCTCTTTTTATTTTCATAATGTAAGTACTTAGATTTAGGTTATTACTATTTTCAGAGAGGAAATAGTACTTGTTATTATTCATGTAATAAATATGTAAGCAGTGATGGTGTAGGTGTACAAACACGTGGCTTACAATGGACCACTAGACAAGGTACGAATTTCAGCATTCTGATACATGTTTCGTAACTAAAATTTTACGTAGAACACGATGCGCACAACGGAAATCACCGAAATTAACTCCTCACGAAGATATTTAATGTTTCTTGGTGCGTGAATTCAAACCACCCGCTCATAAAAACTCAATTCTCTACGTGATTCACACCGCGCGCTAAACATTATCATGACAGTCTCTACGATATAAACATCTGGCAATCTCGATCTTGACGCTTTGGCTCAGCCATAGCAAATTGCTAATAGTTTGAACAACACATGGTGGGAAATGAACATTGCTCGATTGAGAAGCTTGCTGAAACCATTGAAGTGCGTGATTTGACTCACGTAGAGCTTTGAGTTTCTTGTGAGCGGGCAGTTCAAATTCCTCGTAACCAATGTGAAATAAAAACGTTAATATCTTCCTTAGGAGTTGGTTTCAGTAATTTTCGTTGTGTGAATCGTGTTTAACGTGAAATTCTGGTTAAGAAACATGTATCAGATTGCTTAAATTCGTACCTTGTCTAGTGGTCCATTGTAGTTTTTCGAACGATTTCAGTAAAATTGCCTCGAATCAGTTCTCGTCAAATCAATCTCTCGTTTGAATGGACTTGATTTACAGCAAACTTTAAGATCATTAAAAAACAGTTTAATCCACTTACTTGAGGGCCCCTTTGACCAATGATTCCTTTTTCATGGTGCAGGACTCCATTAGCCATTCTCCTGTTTTTTCACTGTTCTCTTCACTCCAGTGCTCCGTCGAAAATCAACAGATAGACTCCGTTTCCCTCAAAAGCGCAATCAGTCATGCTCGAGAATTGATCATAATGAAGTATGTGTCAATGTGTCATGAGTAATGAATTTTACAATCCCATGTTTGTGCACACAATTTAAAAAAAAAGTTTATCAAAATCGGATCGATAGCAACTGAGGGACACTCTGAAAAAAAAATGGCGAACTTTAACGGCCTCCATCTTGCTCCAGTCGCGGGTCAGCGTGTTGCAGTGTTGCCCCTTCCAGAATTGCTCCTGAATGTACCACCAATGAGCACTGAAAGCGGCATATTCCAAGCAAAAAGTGCAGGGTTTCTGCCATTTTTGGCTTGTATGCAACGGACTGTACATATGGAAGTGCAAGGAGGCTTCGGCGAATTTTACACCAATCAGTCTTCGAGCGCCTTATTCAACTCTCAGGCCCAATTTTTTCTTCTTTTTTTTACTTAAAATATCCTCGAGGGGATAATCTTACGCTTTCAGTCCCGAAAGTCCCATTCCCTATTAGTCCCTAATCAAGCCAGCCCCAGGTACCCGTTGTTCGAGACCATCAAACTCGGTTCATCTGGCCGAAAATTGAACCAGGGACCTCTCTATCATGGAGCAAATGCTACAACCACTACACCACAGGAGGCTGACAGATTGATATTACCGGCGTGGGCAAAACAGGGGAGGGCGGCAGGGAACTTGACCCTCCCCCTCCCCCCCCCCCAAAAAAAAAAAAAAAAACTTGGCTCATCACGAGAAATGTGAGGGATTTTGCTGGATAAGTGCGTTGTTTATAACTTTCATCTTTGAAATTATAATTCGAATACATTTTTTATCAGAATAGCTCAAAGTTGCTCCTGAGGCGACTTAATAGTTCAAAATTTTCCCGGGATAGCCCTCCCCCCCCCTCTCTGAGGCTAAGAAAATTCCCTGAGCCCACCTTTGGAACTGGGGAAATCAAACAGATGGACCAGTGGGGTGTCTTCTGGTGCCATCCAGACCCCTCTTGATGATGAGGTGTCCTTCTGCCTCCTTACGGAAAATTCCTGTTTGCGCTTTTACTAAACAATATTTTCCTAAATGAAAAGATATTATCTTTTTTTTGTAAATTTTGTCGTAACTTGATTACAGTTACGTAATTTTTTCTAATGTAAAACACGCCCCTGTTAATAGGCGAAAAATTAAATTGAGAAATGAAACTTTGTAACTCTCCATTGCAATTAAACCTCTCTGGCTGTCACCTTTTCGAACGACGTCAACCAGACGAGCGCTTTTGAGTTATACTGCAAATATAGGCCATCAGCACCAGTAGTTCACTACCAGTAGTAGTTCACCGAAAGACTTTTTCTGCTTTTCGTCTGTTTCTAAGTGAGAAAAATGATTAAGAACCAATCTATTTGTCATTCATGATTGAAGGTGCGCAAAAGTTCAATGGCAAAGGAATTTCAACGCAACTTGCTAAATCATTCCGGGTATGTGACGACAAAGAGGGAGGTGAAGAGAGACAGAAAGATTCGAACTTTGATTTACGAGGGGCACCGCTCATGGCTTGGATTCAAAATGTCTGACATTCCAACGGCGTGCAGAATTCGGTGGCGGCTTACCGTGAGGGCCCTTCGAGGCAAGTGCAAAATGACCTTTAAATACTATAGTCCCTTTTGTAAACCACTACGTTTTTTTTTTTCGGGAGGCACTTGTCCAAGCTGTAGCTGATTCTTTACTCAAGTGTATTTATACATTACAGTTCTCCCTCTCGTGACTCGCATGCTCCATGGCGTCGCTCTGGCTCCTCATTGCGCATCCTCGAACTTATTTGCTTGATGACAGTGCGGAAATCTGACCTTTGCTTCACAGGCATTTTCTTTTTCTTTTTTTCTCTGTTCTTTTTCCTTTTTTTCAATAGGAAAATGTTTGACCAATGGTGCTACATACTACCATTTGTTCATCATCCCTATAAACATTTACTCAGTTACTCAGTTACATACCCAGTGATAGAAAAAGACATTGAAAGGTGATTTTCTGTTCACAGTATCGTATAAATAAGGAGTTTTAGTAAGTACTACTAAAGATTCTGACGTAGTAAGATCTACTTTTAACCTGTAGTAAATAGCACTAATGGCCAAACATTTTTTTTCCTGTATAGCATTCAATGAGCTGCTTTTAAAATTCGCAGTACTGTGGTTCTTTCAGATAGGTTATGCTATGATTATTTTCAGTACTGTCCTTTCAACTTGGATCGTATTTTACATAAGTTATGTCAAATATGAATGAGTTTAAGGTGCTGTGTTCTAGCTTGATAGTAGCCTCACATTATAAAAATTAAAAATAATGAAGATAAAAAATAAAGTAAATAAAACAAATTTGAACACGGCCACTGCTTTTCGCACCAAGTTTATGATACACAAGCTTTTCAAGTCAAAAAAGTAATTAATAACAATCATGAAAATCCTGGCTACTGAAGAGAATGAGCCATAATTACTACAAGGCTCCATAATTTCCATGTTTTTCTCTTTAAATTGTTCCAAGCACAATTTTACGACCGTTGAATTATACACTCTTCGAACACCTGATACACTGATAAAATGAAGTGTGTAACTTGTAAAATCGGTGCTCATTTCGTATGCACTTTAGGTCGTTCATGAATTACGTCAGATACTTTTTGTGATTGATTAAGAAACCGCACTGTCTCCCTCATAGTAGGCATTGCCTTTCCATTCCCTCTCCCGCGAAAATTACGCGAAAGAGGAGATCAATTTTTAAGTGAGTCTGCAAGGTAATGATGTTGAAATACCTTGAAGAAATATAATTAAATTAGGGCATTATCGAAAACTAATTGAGGAGCTTGGAGAGCGAGGCGCATGAATGCAGTTTTTGAAAAAACGGAGATATTGATGATTTCCAGTAAATCGAGTCTTAATGCAAATTATGTGAAACATTCGCTCCAAAGTTCCAATTTTTAAGCATCAAAAAGTCAGTTTGAACTTGTTGCCGCCATTAGAATCCATGACATTTCGAAACTTCAAACACGCATTTCTCGACATAGCAAAAACTGCACTTATGCGCCTTGTCCTCCAAACCTCTCAATAATTAACTGCACTTGATTACATTCATATACAAGCACACTTTACGCCATTCCATCACCTGAATTGGTCAGTAACCTTTTTTAACCACATTTATGCGTGTTGAGGGGTTTTCACTATATTTATCGGAAAAATTTGTAAAAATTTTACTTTCGCGCCTCTGTAGGTAACACTAAAGAAACAAACTTTGGTTCTGAAGAGTCACTCAGAAGAAAACGAGCCCCAAATGTTCTTCTCCAGCAAACGCTGGCGTTGTTCTTTATCTAACTCAAATAATGTTCCCTTAGACATATTGTGCTTTTAGATTACTAGCAATTAAATAAGATACTCCAAAGCACCTCTATCAATGAGAAAAATTGTAATTATTCAATAATAATAAGGAGTTGGACTTTTTACATATCTATCCGTCCTCTCTGTTATAAGTGTCCTAAATCCAAACTACGGACATTTCCAGCCTCATATTACAATATATTACGATATGTTTTTTTCCCCCTTTTTTTTCACTCACTCATAATTTAATCTGCACTCCTGTTTAAATACCTGACGTAATTTATGAACGTCCCCTTGTATTTTTAAAACACTTTTTCTCCTTCCCCTGACGAGTGCATGAGCCCTGTTTGTCCAGCCATCATCCAAACTCATCTAAATATTTTAGAGGACTATTTAAATTAATTCATTTCGATATTTTTGAATAAATAAAGAACTTGCTCAGTAGAGGGAGAGAATGAGAAGAATCACCATGTTTTCTTCTTATTTTCTTTGTTTTTACTTGACAGATTCATTCATAAAATCATTTCATACAGTTCTTTCAAACATACCATGTAATTTTTATTAGTTAGATTGGCTTTCTCCACTTTAAAAATGACATGTATTAACATCGCTTAGCTTCTTCACTTATCACCCCCCGCCATCATCTCCATAAACTCTGAAAAAAACAACAACAATGCAAAAATTTGAAAAAAGAAATATATTTCAGTATAATAAAATTTCATTGCGCACATATACACGGGCTTTGTTTGGAGTGTTTTTGTTTATTGCATGTATAGGTGAGACAAAATATATGTTGTGGGTGGGGAACATATGTCATAAGTTGTTTTAGCATTCGCCCTAATTTCCTCCCAGAATGAATTTTACCGGAATGAAATGCACTCTTGGCTCTCTATCAAAACTCTCAACGTCACTTGACTTGGGGCATTATTCTTGTGATTTAATAGGTGCGTAAAGCAAAATTCCATTTTTAACACTCAATTGTTTTCTGAATATTTTGATTTTTTTTTTTTTTTTGTTTATTCATAATTTTCTGTTTAGAGATCGAGTAAGAGAACACATTGATGGGTTGAAAACCCGATGTTTTAACAGTTTAAGAGGTTTGTCTGGAAAACATCCGACTCATGAAATTTATCCTGATGAATATATTAATTGATAATTAAACATAATAAGGAAATTATTCACAGTTTTCAATGTGCATGTATTTTTCCAGTGTTGGAAAAACTGTGTTTCCGTGGAATTCCATTTAACATTGGTTTAGTGATGTAAATTGATTTGGTGTGCGTGATGAGCTTACATAATAATGGAAAGCTCTGTTATGTGTCTGTCTGTGAAGTGTGTCATCCTTGTCCAGCACATCTACCGGAGAGCAGCACAAAATTCTGGCACAAAATAACAAATATTATTAACAATATACAAAACCTAAGTCCATTCCTTTGATTTTATACAATGAAAAAACGAACATGCAAAATTATCCATGTGCTAGAATCAAAATTATTCACAGCATCAGAATCAATATGATAAAATTCGCTTCAATCAACCAATCAACATCCAAATTCAATTTTTATTCTCCATTAAAGGAAAAAGACCAGGTGTCTTCATTGCTATTCCTTTTAGTGCTTTAAATATCACGTATGACATCAGCTAACTTATCAGCGCCCCCTCCCCTCAAAAATGGGTCGCGTAATAAAAATAAATAAAAACAAATCGAATAAATCAAATACAATTTTAAAAAAAAATGGAACTCACATTTCCTTTTTCGCCCGATGTGAATATTAAAATCGGGCGAAAAAGAAAATGTAAATACCATGATTCGACCCGATAAAGAAAAAAGAATTATAGAAAAAAAAGAAAAAAAATCAAAGCATGTACGTACAAACATCATGCACAACGCAAAATGGGGACATTACTCGTTAAGGACTTTATTGCATATCGACGGTGTAAGTTGGCAATCACATAAATCGTTTACGGTGTCTCAAAATCTCCGCCTCTATGTTATTTTTTTAACGGAGAACAAATTGACATAATTCCTTGAAGTTTTTGCAGAATTTTCTTCTCACAGAGCAGAAAAATCACGGCAGTTTTAAAGAGTTGCCGTTGAGTAGTTCTCCGTTCAAAAAATAAAGTATGACAGTAAGTCTGCGACGTCGCAAAACGGATTATATGATTGCCGACTTACACCGTCAATATGTCAAATTGGTTTTTTTCCTTGTGGGTACATATCTTTATCGAATAAAATGTAAAACACAAGAAGCCGGCCACAAGTACAAGGTCCATAGCGTAGAGATGAAACATTTTAATTTTAATTCATGATGCTATTTTTTAGAGCGTGTTTTATGGATATTTTCGACTTACAAAATCTGAGAAATGTTGAAGCAAATTTGCGTTACGATGTCATGCAATTTACAGCAGAAAATTCAGTTTTCGGAGAATAATTATTTACAATTCACATATGTTATGTTGGGCTCGTTTTTATCATAAAAAAATGCACTGCCAAGCTCCGTTCGAATTAGAAGGAGGTAATATCAACGATTCATTTGTGATGACTAAATTCGGAAATGTCATCAGAGGTGTTCAGCCCCCTTTAAAACGGAAGAGAACCTCCTCAAGTTCTGAATGAGAGTCGATGTATATAAAAGGCTCGATTTTTTCAAAAAAGGTATTTCTCTTTTCGTTGATGTGCACTCACGTACTCACGTGGCTATGAACGAGTCAACGTCGCAGAACGTCATAATGAGGAGGAAGGAGGAGTTTGACGTCAACCCTATACTACGATCAACATATTTAATTGGTGTATTTTTGAGTCACAGAATATAGGTGTAGACTTGATCTAGTTGGATATGCGTAAAAATTATACAAATGGAGGGGGGGGGGTCTGCCCCGTGCTCTGTACTAAGTGTAATGCACTCGGTAGCTGAAAGGGTTTTGCTTATGTAAACAATGCATTGACGTAAAAGATGCAAGGAAAAAAGGGGGCAGAGGGTTTCAAAATAAAATAAAAAATACTTGAACGATCTCTTGTTGCCGTTTCAAAAAAATATAAAATTGGAAATTCACCCTTTCTTAAAAGATTCAGGAATTAAAAAGAGAAATGTTGGAGAGACAATATACAAATCTATATGAAAGAGCATTCCAAATTCCTGGAAGTGATCCTATAGAGCAGATATTTGCTTTAACTTTATACATTAACTAATCGTAGAATTATCACGTACTGACCTTCAAAATCAACGGTGCCTGATCCATCTGAGTCAATGTCGGCAATCATTTCATCCAGTTCCTCTTCACTCATCCTCTCATCCAATTCACTTAGAATTTCTCTGAGCACGTCTGTTGTGATATATCCATTACCTGATAAAACGTAAACGATGAATCTTTTAAATTCCGGTTCCTTTAAAAAATCTTGACTTTTGAAAAAGAATCAGTTTCACATAACGCCATAACGATTGTCTGAAAATCCTCTCTACTCTAAGAAAATCATTTTTAAGACGCTTGATGGACGGGGTGAGGAAGGGAAATAAGCAGAGTAAGGAGCGGCCTTAGGGGGTGTGCAGCGCCCCGGGGCGGGGGTGGAGCCCCCTATAGTAATGTTCACTAAAATTTTGATGCGATGGTTTTTTGTATCTCTGGCAAGATTACGAAACTGCGTACCTCAGTTTGCGCTCTTACTAAATTTTGTTAACATTTTATCTCTTTGAGGGGATGATAATCATCGTTGGTTGAAAAAATGTCATGCAATTCTACTTTTCTCCTCCCACAATTTTTTTCTAGTTTCTTGGAAAAGTCTAACAATATCTAAATTAAAGAAAGAAGGGAGAGGCAAACATTTTGAAATACCGCCATTCAAGCACACATTTTTGTAGCCTCAGCATCGATAATTATCCTTTTAGACTAATACATCCATCTTCAAATGTGTCAAAATGAGAAGTTCAAAGATTTGTAACACCAACCAGAGGCGTAGCTAGGAAATTTCTCTGGAAGGGGCCATGGGACCACCTCTCGTGGTGAAGAGAGCGGGGGGGGGGGGAGGAATGGAGG